GAAAATGTTGTTATTTAACAGCAACTCTGTTTCTCAACTATCGTGTACTTTTATTTCAATTATTAAAATTTTATTTACTCTAAAAGTTAATTGTTTCTTGTATCTGAAACAAAGTATACGTATTCTATTTACATTTATAATGCTTTTATAAGGATCAATTAAACACAATACATCGTCTTTGCAAATTAAAATATAATTCTCATATGTAAGGAACATATTATTCACTATCAATAGATCTTAAGTTTGATCTGAAAGCAAATGTAAACACTCAAAACTCGCAAGTTTAAATAGTAAAAATATGAACAATACAAAAACAAACAATTCATTTACCATAAATTTTTAATTACTCTAATTAAATTTTATGGCTCCACTTCTTTCGCTAAATTGTGAATGACTGACCTGGGACGACACTTAAATGGTCGCATGTTCGTTTAATTTTTTTACCAAAAATTATTATAGTTTGTTATTTTCGAAAATCTTAATTTTTCTTTTTATAAAAAATTTTATATACATACATACATAAATATATTGCATTATGCTATTCATATTATTATAAATTATTTTAATAAAAATAAATAGTTATAAACAAAAATATATAATATGTACTATAATATTAATTTTAATTATATTTCTTTGTTTTTGTATATACATAATTTTTTATGTACTAAAAAATATACTGAAATACCTATATTTTTTTTAAAAAATTAATTACAATGTCCAAAATGTTATATAAGATGAATTTTTCAATAAAAAGTAGTAACGGAATGTTAGATAACTTTAACCATTTTCAAAATTTCCTAAAAAAGTTCCAAAGTTTTCATGAAAATTTGCTATTCTGAATTTTGTAATTATTTCAAATAATATCAACCATTTATGGAACAATTAAATTATTTTGAAAATTATATCAGAATTCAATATTTAATTGGATTTTATTATAAATATTTACAGAATTAAGCTCCCATAAATATTGCGTATTAATATTTATAATAATATAATCTCAATATTTCATTGGAGTGATATTTTTTTCGCCTCTATAATATTCTTGTACAGAATTTGCAATTTTAATATCTTGTTTGAATATTTCTGTTAAAATAATAATTTTATTCTGCCTTAAAGAACTAAGTATAACGATGCCTTTAAATAAGTTAGCCGTTTACATACTTATAATTTCATGTAAACCTTTTTCAATAATTAATATTAAAAATCGTTCGAGATTTCAATATATTCTCAATAATTGTTTAATTGACTGGTTAACAAAAATAATGTTAAACAAGTACATATAAAATAATTAAATATTAAATAAAATTAGTTCAAATTAGTGTATAGCTCAAATTATTATAAGTACTGTAATTTTACTATGCTCATATAATTTAATTCATTCATACCGAAATAATTTTAGTATTTATTAATTTCTTAATTATTTAAATTAATTAATCAATAAATATAATTAAATTAAACTAATGAATTTTGATTTTTTGAACGTTAATTATATAAGCATAGTAATAAATAATTTTATATACATATATAGGTTCCTATAAAATTCTAAAATGATTAAAAAATTATATTTTAAGTATATTATTGTTTAAATTGCCTGAATATTCATCCGAATCCCTTTAATATAATAAGGAACCGTTTAGCAGCTGCTTTTAACTATGTTGCGATTTTAATTCGAGTTTGTTTTAAAAATTTTGCTCATAATGATTTTTTTAATTATACTTTTATGTTATTTTTGAATTATTGTTTTTTTTTTATAATTTTGCTAGCTATATACATTTATTTGATGCATTTTGCGACAAAAATATATAATAACATAGATAATAGAAAATATATTAAATTCATTCCGATGAGAAATTTTATACTGATCTTTGTTATTAATTTGTTATACAGTTTGCAACAAAATAAAGCATAGTACAGTTCCTAAATAAAATTCCTTAACAGTTCCTTTAATATAAATTTAAAACAATTAGATTTTAGGCAACTAAGTTGCAGTTGTTTGAAGAAGCTTCCTTGAGGAACTTTATTATATTTAAAAGTTCTTAATTTATCAAAATCAAGAAGTCTTAAAATATTTATTGGATTTTCGATTATAGACGTTACATTTGTGCGTGAAGTACACATATTTGTAATTCATAGGCATGCCTAAGATAAATTCATACTTGCTTACAATAAAAGAAGAAATTTTATTGATATTGTAAACTACACCTTTAAAGGTGTTTTTAGAAAGCGTATTCTCAATAAATTTAAAACAAAATTTTCTTCCAAAATAAATAATTCATCACAAGGTACGAATTATTTATATATTTCGATATCTTCGCCACAATTCCCATTTTTTAATGTGTACGACGTAATTTTGAATATTTTAAAAATGACATTAGTTTTTGAACAAGATTTTTGCAACGTAATTAACAAAACTGAAAACCTTAAACGGAATGGATTTAGTAAATTAAATTAAAAAAAATCCCTTATTGACAGTTTTAAAACTAATTCGCAGTCTTCTTTTTTCTACATACCTACACATTTATTTGTTTTTATATAATTAGGTTAGGAAAATATTTTGGAAAAAAAAACTTATAACGCTTGTCAACTTTTGTATTACTTTTATTTTCTTTTATCATTAAAATTTTAGTGGTACCAATTTTCAACAAAATAATCTTCCGTTTATATGCCTAAAGGCGATATTCGAAATCTGTATTTGCAAAATCAATATAGGATGACAAAATTTGAGAAGCATTTGATTGTATTACAATTATTTTACAATTTTTTCAATTTCCAAATTGCTAAAATATTATAAGTGTTATTAAATTACAATTTGCATTGGAATATTGAACAATATTCGATAGATTGAATGCCATTGATAGAATTGAAAAAAATTATTCCTAACCGCGATCAATATGTCCATTTATTTTAGTTAATTTTTCGTTCTTCGACCATGTTTACACCCTTTTGTATTTCTTCAAAAATGTTTACGTTTATTATAGCACAAGATTTAAAAATTTTAAATTCCTATTTAATAATTTAAATTTAAATAGATAATCTTGCAATTGATATTTGACTCCACATTAACATTAAGTATAAATAAATGGATAAAATGAATGAAAATCTGAAATAATTAAATTAAATTTAAAATACATAAAAATAATTATTAGTAATATACTATTGTTATTATTATTTTTAAATATTACAATTAACTGTTATTCAATATATATACTCTATTTTGAGTTCTTTTGTAACACATACTATAAAATACTATCGATTTACTTACGTGTAATAAGTAATCCCATAAAGTACCACAAATCAGAGTAATGATAAAAGTAATACTGCTATAAATTACGAGTATGTCACTTCAAATAAATTTATTTATATAAAAATATAGATGTTATAAGTTCAATTTTCATAAAATAAATTCAAATTCATATAAATAGGAAAGTACAATTTCATTAGTACCAAAAATTTTAAGTTTATTCTTGCCATTCTTGAAAATTAAAAAACTTAGAATGCACATTTTTATTATAATTTAATATACAATTTATTTGCATTAATTATTTTATATCTATATATATATATATACAAATATATTATTATATACATATCCATACATATATGTATCTATATATGTATTTATTTAGTTAAAAGTAAAACTTTAAACATTTTGTAAGTTAAAGAGCACATTGAAATCCACTAATTTTATGACAAATGAATGGGGAGAATTAATATGTGAGTACAAGCTTTTTATTATGTTCATAATTATTTAAATGGATCAGCTTTTCTATATTATCTATTTATTATGAATTTTTACAATATGTACTTCTTATAACATTTATTTTTTAATAAAATTTATAATTTACATTAATTAATTTCCATTATTATTTATATATTATGCTTTTATTAATAATAACATACCAGATAAAATATAAATAAAGTTTGAATTATTTAAATATTTTTTAAAATTTTTTGTTCAATAATATTTTTTTTCGAATTATAAATAATTCGTAAATTTCGATTTTCGAAAATCGAAAAATAAATCTATTACGTAATACATAAGCTCTAACGTAATCATTACAATGTATACATTTATATAAAACTGTCAGTCGATTAATCGTCGGTCGATAAAAAAACTCATTTCCCCCTACAATTTTATTTCAGTATGCTCTAATAACTTAATAAATTTATCTAAAATCTTTTATACCATAAAACATTCTGTAATATTTGAATTTTGTTTAATTTATTTTAAATATACTTATATATAAAATTATTTTTGTCATATATATATATACATATATACATATAAGATTTTCGAGACAAATTATTTTAGTTACCCTTTCCCGGTGACTGTATACAAAACCATGTAAAGAAGCTTGTCAAGTTATATGTTTTAAACCATGCAAAACAAAACAAAAAAAAGAAAACCAAACCTACAGAAAAAAATGTGTGGATTTTTTATGTTATTTTTCAGTTATTATTTGTATTGAGCGGTATTAGGTGTAATTTTGATAAGTTATAAAATATGGTTTTAGTATATTGCACCAAAATATAGAGTTTGCGATCACAATTTTATTTTATTTCAAAGTCGGCTTAAAATACGCTTAAATAAAAATTATTTGTGATAGAAGCTCTAGATTTTGTTAAAAAGAAAAGTTTAAAAACAGAATATTCGAAATTACATGCGTTTTGTATAATTTGCGAAAAACAAATGAATGCAAGCGACTGTTCGTTTTAATGTCATAAATTAAAAATACCGAAACGAGTAACACTACAAAAAATTTTCCAAGCAAAGTAAATTTTAATAATAATATTGAAAAAATGAATGTTTCATAAAGTAATAACGGTAGTCTTTAAAATTAAAATTGATTTAAATTGTATCGAATGTTCTGTTTTTAGAAAAAAATATTATATTTTTTAATGTAAATTTTATATAATGTTAAAATTATAATAAAATTATAATTATAAAATTTTTTTAAAATTACTTACATAATATTTTTTCTTTTCCAAAAAATTTGCAGGGAATTCAAACAGCTTAGCACATTTAGTTGATAATGAAATTCCATTATCAACATTGGAAAATACGGCACAATCTTCAAATACCCGAACAAATAGTTTACCGCGACATCCTACAAATCCCAATAATTCTAATTTATATCGTGGTGCATCTGTTGGTCAACAGACACTATCTCCAGTAATTTCAGTGCCAACATCAAATAATTCAGCAATTATGTTAATAGATGATGATAACATGGACACATCTATTGCAATATTACCAAATAAAAATAATTTAAGTGGTAGTTATAATAACCTATTTAGAGATAATTTAGAAAATAGTTGTTCAGATTACCTACTAGAGAAAATAGTTATTAGTGGCGGCAAAAATAATCTAGATGATAGTGGTAGACTTTCAAATAAGGAAAATTCTGGCGGTATACCAAAAAATTTACCAAATTTAACACAATCAACAACATTACAAGATATTGTATTGGCTGGAAAAAATTCTAATATTAATAAAGTACAACAATTACCACATTCAACTACATTACATGAAATCAATTTCAATAAAATTGGTGCATCAGCAACTTTAAATGAAATTCAACAAATTGATAGTACAACACAATCGATACCTTTGATTATCGACAGTCATAATAACATTCCTTTGTCGGCGTCAACGCGCCGTTTAATACAATTACAAAATATACAAAAACTAGAAAATGAAAATGTTTACTCTAATATTCCATCCGGCAATGCAACTTCAATTACAACAACAACAACATCATCATCAGTACATTCAACGAACAGCAATTTAATTTCTTTATCCAATAACGATTTAAATAAATCTGATCCAAATTTACATTTATATTCGAATTTAATTGAAGAACATCAAGCTGAGCAGCAAAGACAAGCTTCAAAACAAAAGAGACACTCAGAACCATCTCCACATCAACAACAACAGCTAGTATCAAAATTTGAAAAAAATAAGGTTACTTCAACTACGAAACCAACTCAATCTTGCGAATCTAAAAATTTAATTGTAAATACAATAATACAGGAAATCAATCCAAACAAATTACCACCAACATCGACAAATACAATTAAAGCAACTATATCAACTACAAAAAAGCAACGTAAAATTAACGCAAACAGAGCGATTGATGATGTTGAAACTATAAATCAAATTAAGCAATCAGAACCAGTGACTACAAAAAATGCCATGTCTTCATCATTATTATGTGATGATCTTGATCTAGATGATCCAGTTAGTGCTTTTGTTGCTAATACAAGAAATCGTAAATTACAAAATTCACAAAAATCTAAAAAAAAGAAAACTTCATCTGATATCGATTCAAAAACTATTGAACATGATCACATGACAGCAACTGTTAGTAGTAGTAGTGGTGATAATCAGGTTGTTAATATAAATGGAAAAGATTCAAACCGATTGAAGCATTTGCATGATACAACTATGATTGATACAGCTTTGGATTTGGATAGCTTAGACGGTACAAGCATTGGTTTGGTTAAATCTTCGGCTATAGTATAATAAATAGAGAAATTTTATAATTTTAATAAAATATCGGGATTTCGTTTTTTATTTTAAGTATTTCAATCAAAAAGATTTTATAATTCGAAAAAAAAAATAGAAATTAATATTACATTTAGATCTTTATTTCTTAACAACAATTTTTAATCCCCGTTTGTGCTTAATGTAAGGCTACCAATATACATATATACTTACATATAATATAAATTATTAACACTTAAAATTTTTAGACTGGTTGTTATTAAGTAAGAAATTATTTTGGTCTCTTTCGGTTTAGTTGGTTTGTAAAATAAAAAATATTATATAATTAACTTTAATAAATTTGTTTTATAGTCTAATATAAGCACTTCCCAAAAAAAAACTAAGTAAAAAAAAAAAAAGAGAAAAACTCAAATTTTTTGTTAAATAAAAATTATATGTGATTTTTTTTTTCTCACCTTAAGGTACTGGAGATTATTTTTGATGTCAATTTATCTTTTAATAAGATAAATGTAGAAATCTTTATTTTTCTAAAATAATTCTGTTAAAATATATATGTTCCACTTTTGTAGATAAGTGCCTTAATGGTCAGTACTATTAAATTTCTGCAAAATATAATATGTACATTAATAATCATTAAAATAAGCTTATGTATATTAGTATAAAAAATATTCTTTCAAATAAGGCTAATAACACTTATTATAATTGTAATTAAATTATTATAACTATAATATTTTTAAATATATACTTATAATAATTATATCCCATGCTATTGAATTCTTCATTGACTCAATAAAAGAAATTTAAACATTGACCGGCAATAATTAAATATATATTTTGAAAAATTGTTTTTTGTGTTACTAAACGTATTCTACAAACGCATGTAAATTACATATGTATGTAATTATATTTAGTACAATTAAATTTTATACATTTCAATTGTTACTTTATAAATGTAAGACATTATACGAATCAAGTGAGATTTTATATTTATAATTTTAACTTTCTTTATTTCTAAATTTCACTTGAACTCTTGCAGTGAAATAAAATAAAATAACATTTTATTGAATTGTTTTTCGAGCATTTTTGCACGGTAAAATTCGCTGTATTAAAAATATTTAATTTATACAATAAAAGTAAATTTTGCAACAAAATGAGGTACTTAGTATTATTAAAAAAATAAATTCAAAACCAATTTAAAAATAATTTATTTAAATTTGCTTCTCAAAATATTAAAGCTATTTGATTATTTAAATTATGTTTCTCAACTTTCGTAAAGAAAAAATAAAAAATTTGCAGCGGTCCAAATGCCGGGCTACAAGTAAAATTTTAAAATAAAAAGAAATTTTTTTTGCTTAAACATGCAAAAATTCTTTAAAAAAACAAAATATTTTTCGACTTCTCTGTAAATATTATTATTTAACTATCCCAGTTAAAATATGCTGAAATACACATTTCATTTTCTGTGTAATATTACATTTCATAAAATGTATTTGAATCAAATTTATTTTTTGTAAAATATTATTGCATTAGTTTAATTAAAATTGCATCAGTTAAATATTAAATTTATCTAATAATTCAGTTTGGATATTTTTATTTAAATCAAATATGATACTTTAATTTTGATTAATATTAAAAATTTCACATAATTTCACTTATCGCATTAATCACTATTTTAAGATAAATTAACTTTCAAATTAATTTTATAAATTTAAAATATACATACGTGTATATTTCTATTCCCTTATATATTGTATATATATATAAATATATATATATTTCTTGATAGCAAAATTTAATTTAACAATAAAAATCTTCATTTCTTCCATTTCCAAAACAAAAACATTAAAATTGATACATTTTCAAAGTAACAAAATTAATTAATATAAAAATTACAATTTGATAATTTTTTTTAATACAGTATGTAATTTTATTAACAACATTTTATATGAAAATTATTAATGAAACCTAATATGAATGAAAAATTTATAAAAAGTGTAATTATTAACTTATTAATTATTTTAATACAAGAAAAAAAAAATTAAAGAAAAATTTGTATAACAAATTTATTTACTAACCAATTAAAATCTTTATTTATAAATAATTCTATTTTTGTACAATTGTTAATTAACAAATCAAGAAAAAACAAAAATTTAAAAATTTAGTTTATAAGTTAAAAATTTTGTAATAGAATTATGTAATATAAAATTAATTGAATTAATGATGATTGTAAAAAACCTAAACAAAGAATTGAAAAAAAAAAAAAAATTGATGAATGTTAATTAATAAATTTTTCTGTAAATATTATGTTAAATTTTTAATTTTATTTAATGACCAATACATTAAAAATTCATTTTTTGATTTTAATTTTCTTTTTCAGTTATTATTTCCGAGGGCGATTAATTTTAATTTGAAATTTAAAAATCATTTCTTAAACCTGGATTTATTTCTACAATTGCTTTTCCAAACTTAACAAGTGAATTTTATTTCCTTTATTATCTGTGAATTATTTATTTTAACAATGTTTACCATCCCTTTAGTAGAATATTGATCGATCTCTAATTCGGTACTCGTCTTTAAATAGGAAGACAACTGTATACCTTATCTGTTATTGCATAAACCTGAAACAATAATATCATATAGAATTTCTGAAAAAAAGAAAATATTTTATTGATTTTGATGTACGTTATGTCAAATAAAATAAATCTTTTCTCTATATAGTTTTATTTGTTCTAAATATATTTTTTAAATATATTTTATTTGTAAACGTTATATCTAATAAACCATCAATTAAAATAAAAACTTACCATTCGATTTCTAACTTATTCAACAGCAACAATATATAACAAATTTCAATATCACTTCTTATAAACAGCCAACGAATGTGTAATTTTATTACCAAAACATAAAATATAAATGTGCGCTTTTATGTATCATCCTTATTTAAACAATATTTACCAAAATCTCTAATCTCATATAATTACTAATACTAGAATAAACAATGCTGTTTCCAACTTGAATAATTTGGCAGAAATTAACCGACAAAATTGATTCCTTCTAAGTATATGATTTTTGAATAATAAAAAATACTTTATATATTTTCTAATTAAATTTACTTTTTAATTATGGTTTTCGTTTGTTTTTTTTTGTTTTTGTTGTTTAACTAGTAAGCTTTTAGTATCGGCTCAATGCAGTATGAAACTTGTTTTAATAAACTATCTAAAAAGTTTATCCTTATAATAAAATATGTACATACATATATATTGCATAATATTTTAAAACAAAAAAAAGACAATTTTTTTTATCTCATCATAATATTACTACATTAAAATCTCAAATTTTAAAATAAAAATAAAATAATCATATACTTTATTAAATAATAATTAATTATTAAGAAAATGTAAAAAATATAAAATGAATAATTAAAGAAAACTATCGTTGTGAAGTAAAATTAATTTATCCAAAAAATAAAACTTTTCATAATACTTAAATTAAGGGGAATAAAATATTTTTATATGGCAAAATAATAAAAAAAAAGAAAACCTTTTTTGTAATCTAATAAAGAAAAAATAAAAAAATAATTAATAAAAATAATGTAAGAACCAGGAAATAGAACTTTGTAATAAACTCAAATCATATGATTTATTATTATAATTTTTTCTAAAATAAAATCAATATTCTTAGTAGTAAAAAGAAATATGACTACTTTAAATAATAAAATCTGTATTCTAAAAATTAGATTCAGGCTTAGGCATTTTATTTCAAATAAAAATCATAAAACATACTAAAAAACACCATTTTGTATTACCAAATCAAGCAAAAAAAAAAAAACTAAAAATTTTATTAAATTTAATTTTAAAATAAAAAATTATCCTAAAACCATTACCTATAGATGCCAATTAGTTATAATACCCGGTTCACCTACTAAAATATAAATTTTAAAAATCCATACATAAATACATATACATATATATATATATATATATGTATATAATAAGTGTTAAAATTGGAAAAAGTCAATGATATTTTATAATAAGATTATGTAATAACAGAGAATGTAATAATAATTGTGTTATTAGATTTTATATGTTTAATTCATATAATAAAAAAATATAAAATGTAAGTCAGTTAAGTATACTCATATGAAAACAAATAAAAAAATTATAATGAAAATTTAATATAAGTAGGAGAAACAAAATAAATAACAAAATATTTAGTACGAAAAATAAAAAATTATTGAAAAATAAAGTCAAAATTTGTATAAAGAATGAACTTAAATATAAAATATAAAAAAATTAAATTTTTTCTATTTTTTTTTACTTATAAAACATTAAACGACACTGTAAAAATAAAAGAAAATTGCATTCACCAATTTCATACCTTTTCTATATTTTTGATTTACCCACAACTGTTGACAGTTTAAAACATTATTATATTTTTTCTATTATATTCATTGTTTTTTAAAATTATTCGTAAAAATTGTTCTAATCTACAAAAAATATTATACACATTTTTATATGCATCGCGATTTCATGGAATTTATTAAGAGAAAAAAATTTTACCTTACTTTAAATATAACTATATTTTTAATTGTTTTTAAAAACTAAATTTTTCATTTTATTTATCTTTATTTATAACATGATAAACAATGCTATTTCCATTTACAATGTTATTCATTATGCATATTTAATTTATAATAGTTACAGATGTAATTTATGTATAAATTTAATGAAAAAATACCATAAATATTGTTTTAACACATTCAAATAAATTTTATTTAAATATATGTATGTAGATTAAAAATATAAATTATAATTTGAAAGTTGCACTTTCTGTGGTTATTCCATTATAAACAAAACAATTATCAATTGGTTTATATTGCTCTGTTATAACTTTTATAATTTCTTGAGCAGCACATCCACCAAGAAATGCGGCAACGCTATGAAGCTCTATACCCCCATAACGACACAATTCGTGAACTAAATCATCACTAAGAGGATTGTGAACACATAATTCTGTTAACATTTTTCCAGCTAAACTTTTAAGACGCGCTATATCAACTTCAACATTACATTCTCCTGCTGTGTATCCATGTTCAGAAGTAAATTTTTCTAAAGCTGTCAGTGCCATATAATGTTCCATTAGGGAGCCAGGTGTTTCCAATTCTTGAACTAAACATTAATATATATCATATTATTTATGAGATAGTTAAAATATAGTAAAAAATTTAATACCGATCGAAGGAAAACGATTTGGTTTTTCGTATTCATCACAAATTTTAGAGCCTCTAATAACCGTTAAACCTATCGTTTCTTTACAAAAAAGTCTTGCTGATTTTTCGGTAACAGTGTCACTAGGCATCCCTAATTCTTTCAATAATTCTTGGCATCTACGATACACGTTGCCTGCATCTATCATTGCCTGATGACGATACAAATTTTGTAAAGCAATATAAGATCCAGAGTCCGCTGTCATATCTGGCAAAATTCCAGGAAGAGGCAACATATCATCGTTATCATCATTTATAAATTCTTTAATGGCTCTTACTATGATCCAAAAAGGTGTACTCTATAACAATATTTTTTAAAATAATTAAATTAATTCACCAAATTTTTTAATTGGTCCTTACCGATTTTGTTAAATTATTGCAGGCATCATCGTTAAATATTTTTAAAAGGGAAGAAGAAACTTGACCATGACCAAAAACAGAATTGATTGCTTTAATTGCTTCCTCATAATTCTCCTCATCTTTTTCCATTGCTAAATATATTTATGCATGGAAAGAATAGTATGTAAATTATTGCAAATTAAGTTTTTGATAAATTACCATTACGAATTTTCTCTCTTAGTTCAGATTTTTCTTTGTAAGTTTTTGGCATTTTTCCATCGTTATTTTTAGACCATTCTTGCAAAAACTTATATAGAACTACCAGCCATGGCATTTTAGGAGATAATGTTGCTGCCTAAAATATTTTTATATTTATATTTTAAAAAGATAATTATATAAATTTTGGTTTTAATGTACATCTAGATGTTGTTTTAAACTCTGAAATGGTTTTTCCAAACGCAAATCATATTGTGGGTTGTCGGGATGTGTTTCAACGATTGTATGTTCTTTGATCTGCAGTCTTATAGAACCAAAAAATCCTACAGATCTGCAATAAAAGAAGGGTATATTTAAATCCCATAGCTTCCGAGACAAGTTTAGCAATGTCTTTTCATTTAATGACGAAGCAACGATAACACTAAAATTTTCGAAAAAATCCGGTCTATTTAAAAGAATGTTATCACAACTTTCATCTATATAATCGCCGTTGACATCTGGATTTAATTCCCTCAACAGTTGCATGCAGCATTTCGCTTTAGGAAGTCCTACGTAAGTTGGTTCAAGAAAAAAACTAAAAATTTCCATTAAAATATAATTTGTAATTGTATTAATTTATATTTTACTTAGTTCCAACATCTTCATCAGTTACAACATTCCCATCAACAATTGTAAATCCTCCAACCCCAGGTAAAATTAGACACTTTAAAATTTCACATCCTAAGGCTGTTGCATTAATCAAACAAACATTGGCATTTTCTAGCAAAGATTGACCATGTTCGCCCCACAAACTTAAATAAAAATTTACTTCATTGCCACTTTTCATTACAGCAAGTTCATTTTTAAGGCTTACCGTATTTGTCTGTCATATTTTTTACTTTTATCAGATAGTTCTGGAGATTTTGACATGGGCGAAGACATAATTTTACAAATAAATTCTTTTAAAACAATTCAATTTTATTATTTTATTACAAAAATGCCGGTAAATAGAGATTCACTTTTCAAAAGATATGTAAATATGTTTACAAAAATATTTTTGACATCGTTACCAAAGTTTTTGAAACTTTTGAATTTTATTCAAACAAGTTTGACGCTCCTTTGCAACTACAGTGAAACTTCTTTATGGGAGTGTATGAAAGCTAAAACATTTTGGTTAAACGAGATATAAGCTATCAAAATTTAAAAAATATTTTGCGAATTTGGAACTTTTGTGGATTTCATAAAAAAAAATTTGAAAACGACTCCTAGTAGCAACTGCAAGTCGATAAAGTGTTTTAATATTATAATAATTAATAAGTAATAATTACATAAATAAGTGCAAAACGGAAAAAATATAAGAGTATATAACGGATGTATTGTGAAGACTCTCAACGGAATAAGAGCAACGGATGAATTGTGAAAATAACAACAGAATTAAGAACTTTAAGGAGAAGTAATTTGTTAAGAATAGTTGTTTAGTTTTTACAACATTTTTTTTTGTAAATTTTTTTGTTATTTTAACTATTAGACGTTTTTCTGCATCCGTATTGTTTTTGTAATTTGCATACTTATTTGATTATGATCCACTATGATTCGTCAATATTATATTACATTTACATAACATTGTTCTTTCTAAGAAAAGGTTGCAATTGGTTCATTGTTTGTATAGAAATGGAATATACAATTAGTTTGATACATATGAATTAATCAAAATGAATGTTGTTTTGGAGAACATCAACATCGAATGTCAGAAATTAGTCGTCATGACATATATTTTTCTGTGATGTGAGAATAATGGGCGAAAAAAATATTTGTGATACAATATTATTATTTGAACATTGAAATAACTAAACCGAATATTAAAACGAGAAAATATTTGTTTTAATCAATAATGTCATCAAGAGTGTTGAAAAAGCTACAAAGTAATAATGATCCGGTATGAACATATTAAAAAGTGTTTTCAACGTGTTATATTCAATTACAAATTTTTAGCTCGCTGAACCAAAAGTTGATGACTTTGAAGAGGAAGAAGATGAAGAAACAATCGATTCTGGAACCTTTAAAAAGCCCTTAAACAGATTTGATCTGGTAAATGCGTATATAAATAAAAAATTGAAAGCATCAAAACATGCATGTATTGATGTATCCTAAAATTTTGACAGTTAAATCAACAAAGTCCTTCAGAAAGTGAAGTAAAGGAAGATGACAACGAGACCGAGCATCATTCAACAGCAGCAAATATTCCAAGTAGTATTTCAAAGAAAAAAAAGAAAAAGCGAAAGAAGAAGAGCACAAAACATTCAGCACATCACATCAGCAGTGAAGATAATGAGGTATGCAAATGAACTAAATGTTTGAATTTATATTGCAGTTTTCTTAATACTTTAGCAACTTAATGAAAAATACTTGAGCGAAATCGATCCTTTCTTGGAAAGAACAACTAGATCTCCTCGCATTACAGGACCAGTTCAAACATGCGAAAATTATAAGTCATTGCTCTCGATTGAATTTAAGAACCTGAATGCACAATATGAAATGAGACGAACTTTTGGAAAACGGGTTGTTAAAATCGAGTAAGGAATATTTAATTGTAAACCCTTGATGGTTGTTAAGTTATTTCACATTTTTTTGTTACAGAAATAAAAGAGGGCGGCCTAAACCGACTTTAAAATCGACCTACCTAGTAACTGCACGTGAGAGTTGGCCTCCTGTTACAAAGGATATTATATCAATGAAACCTTGTGAGCCGCCAGCTTTAACAACAAATGAGGAAAATTTAATTAACCATTCGGCAGCAACTTGGTTCGCTTTCGAACATTCTAAATTTTATCAAAGTGTGCAAAGTATGTTTTTGTCAGCTGTAGAAAGTACCGATTCTGATTTTCTTGTTAGCTTGATAAAAAGATGTCCTTATCATGTCGATTCTCTTATACAGTTGAGTGAATTATGTAAGTTATCATTTTTATACATATATATTTAGTAAAATATATTATAAAAATACGTCCAGGCAAAATTACTGAAAACTTTGCAATGGCAACCGAATTAATCGAAAGAGCTGTGTTAATTTTGGAATCATCTTTGCATCCATCGTTTAGTTTGATATCTGGAAATTGTCGTTTAGACTATAGAAGACAGGAAAATCGAGCTTTCTTCATAGTATTATTCAAGCATGCACAATATTTAGAGGCAAAAGCATGTTGCCGTACAGCTTTCGAAGTTTCAAAATTGATATTAAGTGTAAATTCAGATGATCCACTTGCTATGCTTTTAGTCATTGATTACTATGCAATACGAAGTAAACAGTACGCTTGGTTAGTAAAGTTTTATGATGAATGGGAAACCTTAAGAAATCTTTCACAATTACCAAATATGGCTTATTCATATGCTTTAGCACAATTTTTTTTAAATGGAGGTATAATTTGATTTTTGAAAATAACAAAATAAATTAAAAAATTAGATATGATCGTTAATCAAAATCGATTTATTATATTTAATGAAAATTAGAGTGTGAGGAAGCTGACAAATCCTTGCAATATGCTTTATTAATGTTTCCTGGTGTTCTCAAATTATTATTGGATGAACTTTCAGTTCAAACAGATTCAAGGATTTTGGGTTCAACTTACTTTAATTCTGGAGTATCCGGAAGGTAAATTGATTTCGGTTTTCTAATCTTATTTAATTTTTAAATAAATATTTTAAAGTCAATCGCCGTCATTGCACCAACTGGTGTGTTTGTATGTTTGTCGTGCCAAAGTGATATGGAGAGATTCAAATGTTTTGCCCTGGCTCGAAAAAAATGTCAATACTGTCTTAGACAGAATTGATGCTAAAGACGATGTTATAGCTGATTATTCACAAAAAAGAAGTCAACGGTAAGAATAGTTAGAGATGGAGTTAGGTTTTTTTAACAAACTTTGCTTTCCAGCTACGTTACGCCACCACGTGCTATATTAAGACATGTTTTTCTAGCTGATTACAAAGAAAAAGTGCCACTGGCGCCATTTTTAGTGAAAGAAAAAGAACCGGTAATGATGTATGATCCTTTACCACCTTTGGATTCTGTCAACTTCTACGAAAGGTAACGCTTCAAGCATTTATACTTTCCAAGTTAAAAAACAGAATAAATTTTTTACAGAAAATCTAGTAGTTCGAGTCCTACTTCAAATACCCGACCGGTGTCTATGTTCTTTCAATCTATGTTGCCTACTTTTAACCTGCAAATGCAGGGAAGGCAAAATAATGATATTGCACCTGCAGCAGAAGGCGGCGCTCAAAATGAAAATAGAAATCAACCCAATAATGGAGGTAATACACATTTTTAATAATTTTGTTATTGTAAAATGAAATCAATTTTCAGGTCAAGGGAATGTTGCTGAACTTGGGCAATCTTTAACAAGCATTGTAGAAGCTATGAGAGAATTTCTGTCAAACATTCGTTTTTATGAAGTACAGGGAGGTGATGGAGAAGGAAATGAAAGCTCAGAAGAGGATTCAACTGATTATGATGATTAATTATTGAATTCTTAAATGCACACAAAATATACAATGCGAGAAATTTTTTAAATTTAGAAGAATTTCCAAAAATGCTTTGATTGAAAAAGAAAGTATAAATACTTACAAAGTAAAATTTAAATTTGATCTACACATATAAATAAAAGTTTTAAATTTATTATTAAACTTCAACTCAAAGAAAATAAAGTAAAAACCAATCATACGTTATAAAAATTAAATCTATGATTTCTCTAGTATTTGAATTATTTTACAAAATAAGTATATAGTTGTATAACTCTTATATGCGGAAACTCTTTTTTCACTTGGTTTATTACATGTGTGTGCAAATAAAACACAATATCATAAGTGAGAAAAGAATAGTCTGCATCTATCTGTGAAATCGGTCTGGAGGAAATGATAATCTTTTTAAAGCATAATCTCTATAACATAAACAATTAAAATACAGGTAAAAAAGTTCAATATTTGGACAGTTCGTAAAGTAACAAATTACAAGTTTTATTATCTTTTTGAGAGAACAACTTTTCAATCTTATATTTTTTTAATAAAATGTTTTAATCTAAACTATGTTTATTAGCTCAAATACTTTTTGTAGTAGTATCAATAATTTACCATGTGTAAAATAATAATAATAATAAAAGTTCTTTTTGGGAATGACAAACTTTATGCTCAATCATTTTGAAATGGTTTTCAAACTCTTCTTTACTTGCAAAATTTATGTCATTGTTCCAAAAACAGGATTGTGACGGCAAATTCCAGGACCATATTCCTCATAAGCTGCTTTCGTATGGCAAACCTGATAAAACTCAGGCTAAAAATATAAAATACATATTTTTGTTTCATATATATAATTTATACGTTATGAACTTACTGTTGAAGCAAGCATGCTGCCACCAAACCATACAGCATATCTTTGCATATGGTGCGAAATAACTTGAACATCAATTGGTTTAGGCTAAAAAAAGAAAAATAAAAAAAATAAAATTTTTTTTGCTGTGAGCTATAAATTACTTAAATTGATCTTATTCTGTAAACTACAAAACTTTAAACATATCGCTTTTGGAGTGATAGAGGGGGTATAAAGCATGTAAATAAATTTCGATTTTTTACCTTAATACGCCCTTCACTAAGATTTTCACTAATACGAAGTCTGGTATCTACAGATCTTTTGATATCTCTTTGTAAACGACGCCCAAAATCTTTAAACATAGTGGATCCACCACTAAGCACAATATTGTTGTACAATGGCCTTCTTACATCAATTGGGCAATTTTGAATAACATTATCAACAATTTCTGACAAAGGAATTGTAAAATCTGGATTTGAAAACTCCGGATGAAAGAATATTTCAGGACCTTAAATAACACAATTTAATGTCATAATTATATTACAATTAAAATTGTTAATAAATACCTAAAAATCTTTCATAACCAACATCAACTCCAAATTTTTGTTTCGTGACAGCATTAATCCCCTCGTAATGTCTAATCCACTTATTTGGCTCTGAATCATATTTGGCAAATTCTTTCGCAATATCAGGACAAATGTAGCAATGTTTTTCTTTGATTGCTTTGGCAGTTTCTAAACTTTGTTCTGGAGGAATACCAACTTCTCGTTCTCTAAGTAAACTCTGAATAAATGATGTAATATTCCTTCCAGCGATTGGGATATGTTTGATGCATGAACCAATCACATAACCTTCAGCCTAAAATTTTACATTTTTAAAATATATACATTTAGTTATGTAGTTTTCACTAACCACAGGAATAACATGAGTCACACCGTCACCACTGTCGATTACAATACCAGTGAGCGTTCTTTCCTCTACTGATCTTGAGGTCCAACTTGCAGCTAATGCCAAAACAGCTTGTACCGCTATGTAAAGCCCTGGAACATTAAAAGTTTCAAACATAATTTCAGCTGTATATTCTCGATTCTCCGGGGTATTAAGAGGGGGTTCCGTTAAGAGAAAATGATGATCTTCTGGTTCAGCGCGCAAATATTTGAAAACACATTGTTCCAAAAATCTTTCCATCAAATCCCAATCTTCTACAAGTCCATGCCTAACTGGATACTGAAAGCCAAATTATTTCCAAAAATTTAAAAAATCCGTAAAAAAAAGATAAATATACACACTTTAACTGAATATCCGGTAGCATCAAAAGCTTCGTCACCAATAAAAAAATCTAGATCCTCTACTCCTTTCGTTATTCTGCGTGCATTTTGATCACCAATACGAGCCGACTCTTTAATTGCAATAGCTGAAGGTATTATGAATTGAGGTTCCTTATTGTTTGCAAAACCTAATTTTGTATATCTAAAATGAATAAATTTGGTCAATTTTGAAACTATTTCTTATTAGTTATCTTTAAACATGGGTATGACTCAGAAATGCAGTTAAAATGTTGATATATATTCTTTCTAAAAGTATCTCTTACCCTGTCCCTACATCTATTACACAAGCTGGAAGTCTTCCCGTCATGATATATTTATAAAATTTTAAGTATAAATTAAAAAAATTATTATTTTTCTTAAAGTAAGAAACCACACCTAAACTATATTCAATTTTTTGTAGAAAGATAAGTCACCCAGGTAGGTAAAGTGAAATGTCAAAATAACTTAAGCTCAATTTCATTTCATTTGCTTTTTTTTATCTTTCTTTGCAGAAGTGCCAAATAATATTTCCAGCACAAAGTGCTAAAACTAAATAAAAGTGTGGTCGTTTTGCTTTGATTGGTGTATTTAAATATGTGAAAAAACGTAATGTCATATCTTAAAAATTTCTTTAAAATGTAATAATCATCGAAAACATTTTCCATTCCTATCTTTAAACTGAAATATTTTTAATAAAACTTCAATTGAATAAAGTAATTGTAACTGAACTCAAAATAGGCGTTTCGCTATATATGTAGTGGAACGCATTCCAAAAATAAAAACAAAAATTCATTTTTGTTGAAAACTAAAAAAAAAAATTAGCATGTAGTTAAGCTATAGAAATATTTTTACAAATGACTTTCATTTTGACAATTTGGTTTTCTATGTTACAAAAAATGTAGAAAAATATATTAAAAGAAAAAACAAAAATAACAAAAATTTAATTTTGAATTGTGTCTATTGAGCCATATTGAGTTTGTTTCAGTTTTAATTTATAAAGCTAAATGTGAATAATAAAAATAGGTAATCAAAAATTTGTAAGAGCTAGGGTTCTGTCTGTCAGATATGTAATTTTTAGTTTTGTAATTGTTTGATTAGTTATTTGTGATTCAATGGAAATTTATCGTAATCATACGCTTGTATAATTATATTAAATCAACTGACTTACAACTTAATATTCATTTGTATTTATCAAATATTTCATTTATTTTAGATTTTTACTCTGTAGTTGCTTTAATTTGTTCTTAAAAAAATTTTTTATTTTTACTTAACTCGTCAATAAAATGCAAAATACTGCCTACTTTTCTCACAATTCATAAAAATTAAAAATATTAAATTTCATTTTGCCGCAGAATATAATAATATTTTTTGTTCTGCCAATCTAGGGTTCGATGTCTATTATCTATTAATTCTTCGACTTTTGTTTTTGACATTTCTTTTGATATTTAAAATGACATATATTTGATAACAGCATTCATATACGTCAAAAGCAAATGATTCATTACAATCACTTTTGACTTTGATGTTTTTTCAACAAAAGAATAGAAAGTAAATTGTAGAAATATTTGAACTCTAAAATTATTTTTAAATTGTTTCTGTCCATATATTAGAAATTTAAAACTCCAAATTCGTCATTTAAGAACTTTAAAAATTATTAAATATTTGTAAGTTTGATTTGAAATTAAATTTTAAATAGAATACGTAATTTATATTAATTTTTAAGCAGAAAACAATGGAGTCTAATGTTGAAAATCCTGGGCTAAGTGAAGCCGAATTTCAGAGAATTTGCCAAACAATTGCTACAAGCATACAAAAGGTCCTACAAAATGGTAAAATTTGATTGAGAAAATAATTAGTTTTCATATTAAAAGTTTTTTGGCATTTCAGTAAATCAAATGAATAGAATGGTAAATCAAATTAATACACCTCAAGATTCGCCCGATTTAAAAAAACAATTGTAAGTTCAATTGAGATTTTAACTATATACATGCTTGCTTCCAATACATTTAAAGATTATTTTTAAATATGATAAGGGTAATTAATTATTATTACTTGCGGGTAATATTATACCTTTTAATTATCTGATAACGCTTGCTTAAATAAAATTGTTTACTAATTGTTATAATTGTGAACTTTAATTTTAACACATTTTTAGAAAAAAGTAATATGATGAATTTAATTCTTTTATTTGTTTTGTTTGCAAAGGCATCAACTTATGACATATACACATCAATTAGTTGAAGATACTAATGGTCTAGTAAAAGAGTTGGATAAAAGTAAAGACCGTTCTTTGAAAATCCAAAGAGATCGCATGGTCGATGAATTTACATCAGCGCTTACATCATTTCAGGTAAAGCAAACGCTAAATAAAAATAAAAAATGTATAAATTTTATTATGAACAGCAATTGCAAAGAAAAACTGTGGAAATTGAAAAAAATGTTGTGCGGCAAGCTCGAGCTAATCAATACAATATTTCGAAGCCCCCAGGAGCCAACCAAAGTCGTAGTCTTGGATCATTTTTCGAAGATAATTTCACGAACCGTAATAATAAAACTAATACTCAAATCCAGATACAACAAGAAGAAATTGATTTAGAAGCTTTAGAAGAACAAGAACGGGCTATAAGGGAATTAGAAGTAAGAACTATCTTAATTTTATGTGTTTTTATGAATTGCATCAATATAAATTGTAGGCAAATATTGCTGGGGTTAATGAAATATATAAGAAATTAGGTGCAATGGTCTATGAACAAGGTTTGGTAGTAGATTCAATTGAATCCAATGTTGAACAGACTAGTGTTTTTGTTGCTACAGGATCTGAAAATTTACGTAAAGCCAGTCAATACAAGGTATATATTAAAAGAAAAGTTTATTTATATGAATGTTATCTAATGAAATGATAATTATTTGTTTTGATTTGTAGAATAAACTTCGCAAACGCAAAGTTATAATAGGTTCTGTTTTGTTTGCAGTATTGATAATAATTATGACGATAATTATTGTACAAATCAAAAATTAGTTTCAAGAAAAGTTATGTACTTCAAGCTTGATTAACATTTATTTACTAAAAGTCATCATTTATTATTTTTTATATAATTGTTATATTTTTATCTATGCACGTAAAATTTTATAATATTTATTATAAACAAAAATGTTTTGTGGAAAATATACGTTAAAAGTATATTAAAACATACAATAAAATCACGAAAATAAATTAGGAAATCGAATTAAATATAAAATACTGAAAATGTGGTTTTGTTTATAATTTTATTGTATGTTTAATTGCTAGTAGTAGGAAGTACACAAATAAAAATCTATAAATGTGTACTTTTTACTACATATTATATTATATAATTGGAAATATTTAATATTATTTATATTATTTACTTCAATAATTACATAATAATTTTTTCAAAAATTTTTTAGCAACTCATTCAACAAAAAAAAATCTTTCTGCTTTTATAGAAAATAAATTCTTGTAATAAGCAATAAAAATACAAAAAAAAAACTTGTTTATTCATTAATGAGCAATTCCAATTCATAAATCCAAATTAATGATATAAAAATTATTTTTTTTTATTTGTTATACTTATAAGTATAATTATGTAAACTTTTGAAAATGCAAAAACTTGATTTTTCCAGATTTTAATACATAATTATGTAGATACATGGAAAAATTTATGGAAAAATTTGAATTTACAAAAGAAATAAAATATTATTTAATCTTCATTTAACTCATATTATATGATTTATAAATCATACATTTTAATCATAATCATTTTTTACGCAAAGAAAGAAAAGTTATTTTCGATATAAAATAAGAAAATCGTTATAGACCTATTAGCATTTGCGTTTTTTAATGATTTCAAATACAAATATAAAAAAAAAAAAACACTAGTTAAAATATGTAGTTTTAAGCAAAGTTAACTCAAAACTAATTTAAAAATATTTTTTTCCGATATTGATATCAAGACCTAAAAAAATATTTATGTAAAGAAATGTTAAAAAAATAAGATTTATTTTTAAGATTTATGTTTAAGATGGTGAAATTCAAAGCAGGTTTTTATTGTATGTATTATAAACTAATGTATTGATTATATATAATAATAATATAATAATTAAATAAAACTACATATATATATAAAAAAATAATATATATTTATTAATATATATGTATAATATATTAAAACTCTATGTTTCGGAAATATGAATATGACCTGTAATATTCTGTATCATTTGTAAATAATTTTAACTGAAACAAAAAAAAAAAATAGATCTTAATAATAATCTCTGATCAAAAAGGATTTTATTCACACTGTATTTACAATATTAAATATAATTTTACTATATTATCGCATTTTTTGTTTTGATTATTATAAAACAAGCTCTTTTTTTTTAATCATAAAACGATCTGTCTCATTATTGTAGGGACAAATTCCTTAAAAGTGAAATATCATAAACTAAGTATGTATATCCATTAAATATCTAATTTATTTCAGTTAATGGTATTATTTAATGAAATATTAAACTTATATTAAATATTGGAATTAAATCAATTAAAATTAAATTTCCAGTATTTTAAGAAATGATAAAAGTTTTTAGGTTTTTAAATTAAAAATACCCATATTAAATATTTAAATAATTTATTCTTGTGTTCAGTTAGTAATTTAAGTATTTTTTGAAATGAAAAGTTATACGGTTTAATTTCAAGATATTCAGGCATTTTAAATTTAATTTATTAAATAAACATTAAACATCCACCTTTGTTATAACATACAGCATCTTTATTCATGACTATCAAAACAATGAAAGTGTTCTACAAATCACCTACTACTTTTTTTGACAAGTAAGTGTAATGAAAAGAATTAATAATAATATTAATTTTCAATACAAATTTAAGGTTTTTTTTTTTTTAGAAATTTTTATGAATGAAATTGGAAAAAGAAATATGTATTTATGCATTAAAAAAAAAAGGCAAAAATTATAAAAATAATATATACATTTTTTTCTTCAAAATTTTTTAAATCAAAAGAAAAACACTTAAAACGGGCAAAATAAACATTTTGCAAAAATAATATATTTTAATGAATTAAAAATAGTAAAGATAACAAAAAAAATTTGGAATTTCAAATAAAAAAAATCGAATTATCATGATCAATTATTTTCATCTTCTTGCTATTCTCATATGTTATGTACGCGTTTACATTTACAAAAATGCATACGTAATTATACTGGACAGGCTCGAACAATAACCCATCTGTAACGCAGTTAAACCAGAAGTTTAAAAAAATTGAAAGAGTATTTAAAAAAATAAAAGAAAAAGTAAAAAAAAAAAATAATACTTCTTATATAAACAGAAGGCCGTAAGTATCTCTATAAATATACTTTGAATTTATAGGAATAAAAAGGATAGAATTTTTCAGTTAAATTTCACATAAAAAAAAATATCATAGTATTTTATTCTTCATATTATGAAATGATTTTTTTTTTTTTTTTTGAAGATAATTCAGGGACGCTCTAAGTCTGGGGACGCGAAATTGAAAAATTTGATATTTTTACAATTGAAAGTAAGCATATATATACATGTCTTTCATTAATTTGTGTTTATCGGGACTGGGGAGTCAAAAAAAGCAAAATTTTCTTAATATATTTTTGTTGTTACGTGAACATTTTATGCATGACCTTTAGAACAATTTCTATGTATGACTAAAACGTTTAATTTATAAATAATCTAAGATTATTTTTTACGTATATAGGAATAATGTAAAAACAAAATTGTTTTTTTAGACTTTTATATTATTGACAAATTTGAAGACAATTTTATCAGAAATTAATTGTATCAACAATTTCAAATAGATAAGATTAGTTCATAAAAAATTTTTGTTTTGTTCTATAAAGAGCATGGGAAAATTTCACACTTCTTTGTGTTGAATTTAATTAATGTGTGTATAAATAAATAAACATTTATATGTAATTACATTTATATAAAATATTGATCAATAATAGCATTATTTCCAAAATTGCGAGGTATTGTTTTAATTTTTACTTCAAGTTTTAAATATCAATTGAATATTTGGTCAAATAATCAATTAAAATATTAAACAAATCATAACTAAAGATAAATATCAAATCTTACATTTAAAAATATGTATACCTATTTTAATAATATATTTATATATAAATATGTATAGATTTTTTATATAATAATTTAAAAATAATTATTTCGTATACCATTACCAACCATCTGAATATAAAGAAATATGAACTTACAATGTAAGATCTTTAAATCCTAATAAATACATGCAATAAAGTTTCCTTTATGTGCACCACTGATCCTGAATATAGACGAATATTAATTTAATATTAAATTATTTTTAAAATTTTTATACAATACAATAAGCAGATATGTAAAGGATTTTTCAGTTTCAAAAATCAAAAAAATAAACATTAATATAACAGATATAAAAAATGAAAATTACAAAGAGAGAAAAATAAAAACCCACTTATCATAAATCCTCCACCATATGTATAGTTCTTTAAATTTAAAATCCATCATCAGTATCAATCATACCAACATCATCATTATTAAATGATTATTTCATTTTTGTCATACATACGAGTACTATGCGTATATAACAGTTATCATATACAGAAGAATTTTTATTATAAAAATTTTATTTATTATTGGCATATTGATTGTAAAATATAAAAAAAAAAGAACAAAAAAAAAGAGAAAAAAAAAAAGGATATTTAAATTAAATAAACAAAAAAAAAAAATTCTTTCATCACAAATGTTTACTTTTCATAACTTTGGATTTTTAATGTAAACATTTTTCTTTCACTTGTTTAAGTTAAGGAATTGCATTTTGTATTGTATTGCATATTAACTTTTAAAGTTAGGCAGATCCTGATTATCCTTATGACTTTTTCCTTTAATTTATTTTTTTCTTATCATTTTATCATATTGATTGTACTTACAGTTTTGTTAAAGAATAAAATTTTAGTAAAAAAGGATATTTTGTTATTTTTAGTAAAAGATTTAACATTTAAAGATTTTATAAGTCTATGGTATATGCATACGGATATATAGACATACATACATACATATTATGTTGCTTATATTTGAAGATTAGAAATTAGTGAATATCTAAGAGCCTTTATACAATATATAAAGCTAACTTTCATGCTATAGTAAAGTATGCGCATATATGTTTATTAATATGAATAGCTAGGTAAGTTAGTATTCTATATATACATAGATATATTTTAGGGATATAAGTATAAATCTTATTACATCGTTTTATTTTAATCACTTAACAAAATAATGAGAAAGAGTTAAAAAATTTTAGATTGTGTATGTATTTACAGTGAATTCTTTAGCCTAAGATATTTGTAAGTAGGTAAGTATAGCCAATGAATTTTAGAAAATGAATGTATGATTATACATGTATGTATGTATTTGAGTTTTAAAAATTAAATAAATTAAAAATACGAAAATTTGATAATTTGGAAAAGCTTAAGAATCAATTGTAAGCGTAATGTCGCATAAATTATAGATTGAGCTATTTTGAAAAGATATAGCTTTTAAAAGAATGAATAAGAGAAATGGAAAGAAATTTAAAATTACGGCCAGAACTGTCTTCTAATTCTAAATTTAATTATTAGTTTTATTTTATACTATACATAAATGTATTCTAATTTAAAAAACAGTACCTAATTGGATCCGCTAAATTTTTAGTTATTTACGCCAAACCTTTTTACCACTCCTATATTTATGGCTGCAAAACATTTTGTATTTACTTTGTACCCCATTATTTTAATTATACAAGGTAATTAAGTATATTTAAATTTTAATTTTGAAAATCTGAAATTCATGATATAATGCATTTGCTGTAGCTCTTAATTTTCATAATTCATTCAATCATTCCTGTACAAAAGCCAGTTTAATTCAAGATAAATTATAGTGCAACATTGAGAATTAAACAGGATTTGAAATTGGACAAAGAAATAAAAAAAAAATTTCTAAAAATACATATATATATTTTTTTTGTGCCGCCAGACTGTCTATACCTGAATACATAATTGCATTTTATTAAAAAAGTCTCAAAAAAAAGAATAAATAAAGCATGAAAATCTTAAAAAATAAGAATGTGTTTGTATAAATCGTGTCAACAAAGTGCTACACTTTTGTTGATTATACATAAACGACTTAACTCAATATACATACGTATGTACATCATGTTTTAACATATACATACACATGACTCATATTGCTTGAAAGAAAGCTAAATTATACATATATAAAATTGTGTAAAAAAGTATATTTTAATTCAATTTTAACAATAAACAATAGAAGGATATAGAAAGAGAAAAAAAGATCAAATTCTATGCTTTCTATACTTTCTATCAAAAACTTTTACTAATTTTATAAATTTTGATAAATTTATGTATATAATTTTAATTGAAAGCTAGTCATATGCATACATACATATGTATGTACATATACATACATATGTATGTAAATAATTTTCAATTATACTTACTTGTTAAAGTTCAAGACTTTTGAATACTTATTCT